CTTAGTTTTAAGCCCCCGGGTCTGGGACTTGAACGGCAGTCGACTACATGGAAGTCCAGTGACACAGCCATTACGTTAACTGCTGGTCCCAGCAGCGCCTTAACCTCCATGCCACCTGCTGGCCCTGTTGCCCACTTCTTAACCGTGTTGTCTCTTACTAATGCTGAGTTCTTTACACACTCTAGGTATGAGTTCGTAGTCTACGTGGATGACTACAACAGGATATCTTAGACTGGGTAATTTATAAATATTAGAAATCTACTGCACAGTTCTAGGGGCAGGGAGGCAGCTCAAGGTGCCCGCTGACCTGACGTCTGTTGAGAGCCGGTTCCCCAAGGACAGACCGTCCTGCGCATCCTCACGTGGCAGGAGGGAGGTGGCCGCTCTCATGCCTCTTTTACAAAGACACGTCAGGCAGAGTCCTCATGCCCTGTCACCTCCCAAAGGCCTCACCTCTTAACAGTACTGCATTAGCGGTTGGCTTCAACACAGGAGTTGGGGAGGGCACAGACCAGAGTAAGTCCCTAATCAGATACAGAATTCCCAAATGGTTCCTTCCATTGGTTGTCTTTTCGCTTTCCAGATGATTTCCTTTGAATCACAAAAGTCTCTGATTTTGATGAAATCCAACATATCGATTTTCTCTTTTACCCCTCTGCTTTCAGTGTCTTATCTATTAAATCACTGCCTAACCTAAGAGCATGAAATTTCTGTTTCTCTTAAGAGGCTCAGAGTTCTAGCTCATATAGGTTTGTGATCCACTTTGAATTCATTTTTTTTTTTTTGAGAGGTTTTCGCTACAGGGCGCGTGCGCTCGCCAGACAGACAGAGAGAGACATAGAGACAGAAAGTGAGAAATCATCCCCCAGGGGGGATGGTCACGCCGCAATCCCTTCTCCTCCATTCTCCTCTCGGGATCTTGGGCATGCACGCACATGCGCCCGGCTTTGAATTCATTTTTATATATAATGTAAGGAAGGGGGACAAATTCATTTTTTTGCATGTGGATATCCAATATCATCTGTTGAAAAAACTATTCCTTCCCCCACTAAACTGTCTTGGCCCCTTTCTCAAAAATCAACTGACGGGACCAGCAGTTAGCACAATGGCTATGTCGCTGGACTCCCATGTAGTTGACAGCGGTTTGAGTCCTGGATCCGGCGGCTTAAACTCACGCCGGACGTGTGCACATGCGTGCCCAAGATCCCGAGAGGAGAATGGAGAAGGGATTGTGATGTGGACATACTCCCTGGGGGGTGATTTCTCGCTTTCTCTCTCTGTCTCTCTGTCTGTCTGGCAAGCGGACCTGTCCTACAGCAAAAACCTCTCCAATAATAAAAAAAATCAGCTGACCATAAATGCAACTCTCAATTTTATTCCACTAATCTATGTGTCCATTCGAGAACCCCAACTTTTTCTTTTATCTATAAAATGCAACTCAATTAAATACTGTAGTTACAGATATTTAAATATATGTAAAATACAGTCTGTTATTAACCAAAATATTTATATATGCCAATGACACTGACTTGAAGAACATCAAGGTAGGCACCCGAATAATCAAGAACAAATTTCTTGAAATAACCAGAATAGGATTTTTTTGAGAAAGAGATTTTTGCTATAGGGCATGTGTGCTCACCGGAGAGAGACAGAGACAAGGAAACAAGAAATCCAACTGACGGGACCAGCAGTTAGCACAATGGCTATGTCGCTGGACTCCCATGTAGTTGACAGCGGTTTGAGTCCTGGATCCGGCGGCTTAAACTCACGCCGGACGTGTGCACATGCGTGCCCAAGATCCCGAGAGGAGAATGGAGAAGGGATTGTGATGT